TAATTTCCTGGAACCCTGAAAAGTAACTTAATTCATTGAAGCTGCGAATCATGTTTAGAATTATAGACTCCTCAAAATAACACTGTGACACCAGAAAGTTTTTCTGAAATAGCTCTATATTTTTAACAACTATAATAGGAAATGAAAAGCTACTAGTGTCCCATTTAAAAATAAATGAGATTTTTTAAAAAATTGAATATGTATTTTCAGGTCGGTTTAAATGTGTATTTCATGCCCAGAGGAAAAAAACTGTCACCTTTAACTTTGAAATATTTAGGTTAAAGGGAAAAAAAGTGTCATTGAGATATTTTTGGACTCAGTTATAGAAATAAGTTATTTCAGATAACACAGCAGAGTTATACCAAGATAGGAGAAATAAATCATCCAGACTTTGAAGACTTTTATTTGGTTCTAGGAAAAAGCAGACTGCTTCACAGTGTCCTGATCTTGCTGTGATAAAAAGGTCACTGGGCTGTGTTAATAGTAAAGGTCTGGGGCAGGCTGGGGCAGTGCCTCATTGACAGTCCTTGGGCTTGTTTGGATCTGGAGACCTGAGGCCCTGGGTTTTATCCCTAGCACAACAAAGAGAAAAGTAAAGGAAAAAGCCTGGGGCATATTCAGATGGTGATGATGATTATGGTAACCTTGGGAAATCTGAGATCTGACAGAGCCTACTCTCCAGCTTTCCATAGGGAACTTTATAGTGCAGCTTTGTAGGGGTTAGGGTTAATGAAACTAATGGTAAAAAAAAAAAAAAAAAAATCACTCAGCACTTACTTCCAGGGTAGGCATGTTACCAAGTGCTAGACAAACATTATCTCCATTAATTCTTCCAGCCCCTTGTGATACCTATGTAATATAGATTCAGAAGAATACTGAATCTCAGAGAGGTTGAGTAACTTATCAGACACTCCAACAAGTAAATAGCTGAACTGATCCAGAACTGAAACTCATACCCACTGTGCCTGGAAAATATCACCAGGCCTGGTATGGTAAAGAGTAGAGTAAATGGAGGCTCTGTCATAAGAAAAACTGAGCTTATGGAGTAGTTTCATCACAAAATAGGTAGAGGGAACTGATTGGACTGCCTGATCTCTTTCTTTTTTTTCCAACAGTTCCAAAAGATCATTATATCCATGTTCTTCATCTTTTTCTTTTATTGCCAGCTCTAGCTGCTGGGAGGGAAGGTGCATGGGTGCTGTTATTACAGCCCTTTGCTTCATTTTTTCCTGTAATGTTAATTGAAACCAGGAATTAAGATCAAGAAATGCTTATATCTCTGATTGAAATCTATAGATCTCAAAGTTTATTTAACTAACAAGCTTTCAGACTGGTTTGATAAGTATTTACTATTTCATCTCAGTGATTAGTTTTAGAGATCTGTAAAAGTATTAGCACAACCACTAATTCCCTTTGTGTAGTTGCAGACAAATTTTGTTGTGAGAAAAGTTGAGTATATCAGTTTGCTGGGACGGGGTGGCACCGCAAACTGAGTGACTTAACTACCAAAATAACAGAAATTTATTGTCCTGCCATTCTGGAGGCTAGAATGGGAGATCAGGGTATCAATAGGGTTGCTTTTTTCTGAGGGCTGAGAGAGAGAGAGAGAATCTGTTCCATGATTCGTACCCAGTTTCCAGTAGTTTGCTGGCAGTCTTTGGAGTTTCTTAGGTTATAAAAGAAGCATCACCATGATCCTTTGCCTTCATGTTCAAATGGTGTTCTCTATGTGTGAGCATTTGTGCAAATTTTCCCTTTTTTTTAATAAGGACACCATAATACAGCCTACCCTGATAATTTAACTTGATCTCTGAAAAAACACCTGTCCCCAAGGTCATATTCTTAGGTACTTGGGGTTAGGACTTACAGTATATGAATTGGGGGACACAGTTCAATCATAGCACTGAGTGTGGACAACTTTGTTTATATACACCCTTTTCCTGGTAGCTTCATCCTCCATCTGTATTAGCTGAAGTATTATAGATCATATACCCATTTTATTGACTAAGTTCTATATAGTAGGGTACAGTTCCCATCCAGAATAATATTCAAATAATGAAACTATATAGTGATTTGAGATTGAAACTCTCCTTTGCCAATCCAGGCCTGCTTCATTGTTAGAAGCCTCCAGTGGGAAAATTGACATTGTAGGGCTCCTTCCTTGATATTGCCCAGCTCCTTTTGTTCATGACCTTTACAAGATCAGGCCTAGAGAGGCATAAGGGAAAAAAAAAAAAAAAGCCATTGATGGTTGATGGCTGGGATGTTCTGACATAGGTGCCCTCTGGGTGGCAGGTATGTACTTCTTGGCAGATTCATGGGAAATTGTCTTGCTGAGTCCTAGCTCCCTCAGTGCAGCAGGGCCTCTCCTACTGGCCCTTGCTAAACTCCTACTGGCCCTTGCTAAACTCCTTCAGACCCTTGCTTTTGGTGCTTCAGTCCTCTAGACTATGCTCTTGGGAAGCTATCTTTTAAGGCATCTGTATGCCAGCTATCTTTGTAGGGTCTGGTTTGTTCATGAGAATTGAGAAACTTTGCTGTCAATTGGTAGATACAGCTCATCCAAAGTATCTCTCCTTTAGGCTTCAATCAGATCCTAGTCTGTGGCAGGAGGTACTTGCCCAGCTCTTCAGGTAGTTCCTTTGAAGCCTTTCCAGCTTGATGCAAGCAGAAAAGTAGCATCCTTCTCTTTTTCGTCCATATGCAGAAGTGGCAGTGGACACCCTTCAACATCATACCCTCCTTGGACCTTTCCAGCCTCAGCCTTATAAGAGGCTCGAGGAATGGCTAAGAGATAGTCAGCTAGGGCTTCCCCTTAGCAAGTCCTGTGTAGGTGCCTATTCTGCTGACACTTCTGTGTATTAATTTTGCTACTCTCTGGAGGTAGTAGCCTTTGAATGGTTAAGGAAGGGAAGAAACCAGTCTTGAAATGGTTATCATTTGCAGAGGAAAACAAATTTTTGATATTTCAAAACAAGGGAGTTGGGTCCCCAGGTATGAATTCCCCCCCACCCCCACATTGAACCCAGGGGCACTTTACCACTGAACAACATCCCCAGTCCTTTTTATTTTGAGATGGGATCTTGCTAAGTTACTTAGGGCCTAAGTTGCTGAGGCTAGCTTTGAACTTGTGATCCTCCTGCCTGAGCCAGCATGCACCACCACACCTGGTTCTCTGAGTTCTAATCTTGAAGAGAATAGCCATCCATTTCAGTTCACACCTGTAAACATCTTGAAATACAGTTTAATAAAAATAAATACAGTTGGCGTATTCTTCAATTTGTAGAAAATTTCAGCTACTATTGTTTCTTTAGCCCATGTGACTTTGTACAAGCCTCTTTTAGAAATGTCTTTTTATGCAGAGAGGGAGGGTAGTCTGTATGTGTTGAATCCAAAAGTGGCAGTGTGTTCCTTGTTTTACTTTGCAAAAGATCATTCTGTTTAATGATAGGCTATAAATTCTGGCTCTTTGCTGTTTTTAATTTCAATGCAGTACAACACATGCAACAGTTTAAAATGTGATTATTTTAATGCTAAAGTATATCGTGTCTTTGTAGAGCATTCAGAATTGAATAATAAAAACATTAGTTCAAATATGGTTAGATACTTGATAACTATAGTTTACATAGGTAGTAAAAAGGTATTAATACCCTTAGTCTAAAAAAAAAAAAAATAGGTGTTATTCAATGGAAGAGAAAGTTAAGAAAATGTGGCAGGAATGTGAGTAATACAACCTGAAGTGCAGATAAGCCACATTATTGAAACCAGCCTGTACCATTAGGTTGAAAATTAATACTGAAATCTTTCAAGAACAATTCTAAAATAGTTGTGGAAGATAGGATAATAATAACTGAATGTATGAATGACTTGGTCCATGACAGCAGCAGTGGTGCAGGAAACCTGAGGGCATTGGTGCTGACTAACGGAAAGAAGGCAGGCCAGGTGGTTAATTTTTCCCCCACCCTCTCTCTTTGGACCTAGAGAGTAAAGTGGATGTATTTAGGCAACATAGGAAACCTGAAAACAAACTTTTGAGATACGGGAAACATACAGAAGTAAATTACAGCATATTAAAGGGACAAAAATGTATTAAGTTTTTTAAAAAAAATTATTTGTTGAAGGACCTTAATTTATTTATTGATGGTGTAGAGAATCAAACCCGTTGTTTCACACATGCTAGGCAAGTGTTCTACCACTGAGGTACTACCCAAGCCCTGAATTAAGTTTTCACTCTTTAGGTAGTGTCTACAACTATGGGTACTTTGGTTATAATAATTTAGTAAATAGTTAAAATTGTGGACTTTAAAAGAAGATACTTTATAAACTGTTAACATAGAAAGGATTGCTTTTGGTCATATGGAATATGACCAAAAAAAGAAACCTTTACTGAATGAGAAATAAAAGAAATACATTTTTATTATTAGGAGTTTTATTTAAGTAGAGTTGACATAATTAGTACCTATTCCTTTTTGTAGCCATAATAATATTTTATACCAAAAAATACTCAAATTTTAGGTATGATCCAGTAAGGTGTTGTTTATAATGCTTACAAAAAGTAACTCGTGTCCCGTCCTGGGGGTGAGAAACATGCAGCAACTGATTGTCCTCAGAAGTTCGTGGAAGGATGTGCTGGAGAAACTTGGGATATTAAAAACCCTTTTTAAAATACTGATTAGTTTAATCAGCCAGTCAACAAACATTTGTTGAAACTGTATAATGTGATATGAATAATGGTAAGATGTTCATACACAGAGGTCAAGACACTCCTTGCACAGAAGGAACTCAGTTTTTGGAGTTTTACCTTTTTAATATCTGCACAAAAATTAATTTTTTATATAAATCTGGGTCTGGTTTCTGTTGGATATCTTAGTCTGAAATATTTTATTGCAGTATAGTGTATTTGATCTCTTGCTGTGTGTACCCATGAAAGTGACAGTATGGTGGGATTTTTTTTCCCTAAATTATAGCACCAGTTTTAATGTTTCTTGACTTTCTTGCAGATAGTATGCATAACAACTATACATCTGAATCTAACAGCAGCACCACTGTGAAACCATCACCAACTTCAGTTTCCTTGGCCTCAAAAAATGTGACATATGTCACCATCAAACCAGTAATGACTTCTAAAATGGCAACACCAGGGTTCTCAACAAATACGACTTCCACTACTTTAAAGTCAACATCCAAAGCAACAAGTGTTTCACAGAACGTATCCCAGATGTCAACATCTGTGACAACCACAACTCAAAATAGTTTAGCGACATCATTAACAAGTACGTATTAAATTTGACCTGTTTGTTTCTGTGCTGCAAATAAGTTGTTAAATACCACATCATTCCATTCTGCAAAAATATAGAAACTTTCTGTGCCAAATTTTCCCTTGGTCCCACATAAGTATTCATACACAGAAATTCAAAAAGTTTTAGTTAATTATGATGTTTAGTTAATCATGATGTTTAAAAAATGCACTAATGCTTGTTCTCTATTTTCTTCTAGTCACAGCAACCATTCATTTTAATGAAAAATCAAAATTTGACACTGGCAGCTTTGTTGGTGGTATTGTGTTAACACTGGGCGTTTTATCTATTCTTTACATTGGTTGCAAAATCTATTATTCAAGAAGAGGCATCCGATATAGAACAATGTAAGTTTTGATTGGCTATTTCTTCACATCTCTATTATGACAGATTGCCAGTCAGGCCAATGTTCATCTCAAGGATAGATTTATATTTTGTTACCTCCCTCTGCCCAAAGTAAATTGTTAACATAAAGCCTGCAATTACACTTGTAAATGAAAGCAGATGCATGTACCTATTAACTTAATTGTATCTTATTTTAACCAAAGTTTAGCCAATGATTTTTACTTATTTATACCTGTAATCTCAAATAATCCCAAAAAATCCTATATCAGGTCTCATCAGCCTATGGACCTAGTATGTGTTATGTCTTTTGGTACGAGAAAGCATTTTTGGTAAACAGGTGTTTTTTACTGGTGATGACAAAGACACCGAAAAGAAAGAAATTCCTCTAACTAGCCCTCATGATCTGATTACCCCCCAAAGTCTCCATCAACAAATATCACATTGGGACATGAATTTGGGATAGACACATCCATCCATTGCATGTGTACAAGAGCCAGTTCATTCTTTTGGTAATGTACATAAATATAAATAATTTCTAAAATTTGCTCAAAATTATAGGTTAACAGTTATCATTGACATGTGCACCCCCACCAAGCTTTTACATCAAAAAATTTGGGGAAATGCTGGACTGAATAAATAGGCTACTTAAAATTCCCCTGAACTTTTAATATGCTGATGTGCATTAGTAACTTCAAAAGTAAAATACCATATGAAATACTCAACTTTTTTGGCAGAAATATTTGTTAAATGAATGGACCTACTTTTGTTCGGTAGAGCTGATGTACCTCTCAGAACTAGTATTGTGTGGAATACATTATGGGAAATATTGGAATAGGCCATTGAAATTATCTCCCCCCCCTTTTATTGGTACATTACAATTACACAATCATGAGGTTCATCATTACATATTCATACATGCACAAAAGAGAACAGCAGAATTTGGTCAGTTTTGTTTCCTAGTACCTCCCTTTCACTCCCCTCCTTCCTTTCCATGCTTTCTTCCTCCCCATGTCTCCTTCCTCTACTAGTCTCCCTTCTATTTTCATGTGATTCTTCATTTTTTGACACTAGGTATGATTTCATATAAAAGCAAATCAGACTTCTTGGTACATTAAAGAGGAATTACTTTGCTGGGTGCAGTGGCTCACCCCTATAATCCCAGCTACTTGGGAGACTGAGGTAGGAGGATTGCAAGTTCGAGGCCACCTGGGCAACTTGGAGAGGCTCCTTCTCAAAATAAAAAGAGCTGGAATAGAGCTCAGTGGTAGAGCACCCCTGGGTTTAGTTCCCGATACCAAAAAAAAGTATTTATACAAATGTATCTATTGATACTAAATGAATAGATGGAAAGTTTCTGAAACTTTCAGTTCATTGACAAAATCGAATGTCATTTTGTAAATGAAAGTGGGATCTAGCAAATTCTGTTACTTAAAAATATCAAATTATTTTTAAATATTTAAATAAAAAATGACATGGTCAACATATCAAACTCATTTTAAAAGAATGAGTGGTATTTTATGAGGTTAAAGTATTCAGAAACATTAATTCCTGTCAACACATACAAGGCAGGGGATGTCACCTATCACATGCAATGCATTGGGTTCAATCCTCAGCACCATGTAAAAATAAATAAAAGTATTGTGTCCAAAAATAAAGTGTGTAGCAATTTGAGATGAGTTTTTAAAATCACTATTTCTAGAGATTTATCTGTTTTCTTGGTTACTTTCACCAAAGGCACTTTTTTATTATAGTAAATTAGCCATTTTTACATTTATTTAACTTAGTGAAACAAACTTGCTTTTTTAAAATTTTAAATTAAGTACCAAGTACATAATTTTAGCCTTTTGGGAATGATTTTTTTCCACATACATATGACCAGATAATGCTGTATGCTCCGTGTAAAGAAGCCAGTGTCCAAAATCCTGTATTATATGGGAAATGTGCAGGCAAAAGCAAACACCTGAGAAATTTCACTTAATTCCTATTTTCATGCATAAATCAGTAGATGATGAAAATAACATAAGCAAGTGTAACTTCAACATTTTGAGGTTTTTCTCTCCATATATTAATATCTCTGAAATTAGGGTACATCTTACAGTCCATTAACTGAGAAAGTACTATGTTGTAATTTAAATTGGTTGTATTTTTTTAATATTTATTTTTTAGCTTTAGGTGGACACAATATCTTTACATCTATGTGGTGCTAAGGATTGAACCCAGTGCCTCGTGCATGCTAGGCAAGCACTCTACCATTGAGCCACAGCCCCAAAGTGGTTGTATTTTTTTAGGGTTACATTAAAAACAAAGTCCATTTTAAAGCTAGAAATTACTTTGAAGTTGTTTTAAAAAATGGCATTCCATAAGTAAGGACAATATTTGTCCCATTAAAGAAACTGAAACTTCATATATCTATCATTAATAGACATTTCTGACTTTCCTTTTATTGGATAATAACACTTTATAAAAAATTTAGTTCCTTTTGTTTCTTAAGAGCTGCATGGAGAATCCAGGTGTTGTGATGCACACCTGTAATCCAAGCAGCTCAGGAAGCCGAGGCAGGATGATCGAGGGTTTGAGGTCAACCTGAGCAATTTAGCAAGAGCCTATCTCAAAAAGGGCTGGGGGTGTAGCTCATTGGTAAAGTGCCCCAAGGTTCAATCCCCAGTACTGGGGGAAGGGGGAGTTGCATAGACTGTAGAATGAAATGGTTAAAAGGAATGTTTGAGGAAGACAAATTTAGTTACATGTGCTGTTTTTGTGTTTTAAGTAGTGGTAAGAATATTTAACATGAGATCCACCCTCAACAAATTCTTAAGTATAATATTGGATTACTTACAATGTTAGACAGTGGATCTTTACAACTTAGTCATCTTGCATAATAAACTTTATACCCATTTAATAGCAACTCTTAATTTCCACATTCTCCCTAGCCTCAGACTTAGTTTTGAGTCTAGTTCTGTTGTTGACTAGATAGCCACTTTACTGTGTATTATATAAACAAGGCATCATAGTGTGTGTGGTCAAGAGCCCAGCCTCTGGAGAGCATTTACATGAATGCTTAGCATCTAATTCTCTGCAAAATGAGATGATGAATAAGATGCCTTTTGCAGGCCAGGCACAGTGACACATACCTGTAATCCCAGCCGCACTGGAGGTTGATGCAGGAGAATTGCAAGTTCAAGGGTAGCTTCAGCAATTTAGTGAGACCCTGTGTCAAAGTAGAAAAATGGAGCTGGGCGCAGTGGCACATGCCTGTAATCCCAGCAGCTGGAGAGACTGAGGCAGTAAAATGATGAATTCAAAGCTAGCCTCAGCAAAAGCAAGGCTGCTGTGCAGCTCGGCAAGACTGTCTCCAAATGAATACAAAATAGGCTGGGGATATGGCTCAGTGGTCAAGTGCCCCTGAGTTAATCCCCAGTACCAAATAAATAAATGGATAAATGGGATGGGGATGTGGCTTAGAGGCTAAGCACCCTTGGATTCAATCCTTGGTACCCTCCCCCCCCCAAAAAAAAAAAAAAAAAAAAAACTTTTGCATGGGGTTCTTGTGATGATTAAATGATATGGGTGTAAAGCCTTAACAAAACACTTTACAAGTTGTTGTTCTTTTCAAAGAGGGATCTGATAGCTTAAAGATGGTTATGATAGCCAACTGGCAGAAAGTCATAAAGTCATATAGCCTTTAAGGAGCTGGGATTTGAGAACAGGTTGGTTTGAAATCTTAACCACCATGGTATACTGAATACTTTGAACTTTATACTGAGCAGGGACAATTTTGATTGTGAAGCTTGAAATTGTTGTAATGCTACTTTCTTTATAAATATGCATATATTTGTAGGGTTTAATTCGTGTCTTCATACATGTACTTTGGATAATGATGTCCATCACATTCCACCATTTTCTCTAATCCCATGCCCCTTCCCTTCCCCACTTCTGCCCTATCTAGAGGTAGTCTGTTCCTTCCATGCTCCCCTTCTGTACCCACTATGAATCAGCCTTCTTATATAGGAGAAAACATTCAGCATTTCATCCCCAGCCCTTTTTTTTAAAAAAAAAAAAAAGCTTTCACTAAGCTATTTTGGACCTTGCTAAATTGCTGAGACCAGCCTCAAATTTACGATCCTTCTGCCTCAGACTCCCAAGCTACTGGGATAACAGATGGGCACCATGCAGGCTTCCTATTAGTAGTTTTGATACAAATATAAACAAAGTAATTTTAACTTTTACTATATTTCAGTGATGAACATGATGCCATCATTTAAGGAAATACAAGGACCAAGGAAAGAAGAAACATTGATGCAGCCCTGTTCACTTTGGTTTTACTACTTTAAAACAATGCTCTCTTGAAAATAAGAAAAAAGCATAATTGGACCACCATGCATATAATATAAAACCTGTTACATAAATGTGCATAGATTTTTTTTCATCATTACTATAGGTAAAAAGGGCTTGGTTAGGTATTTAAATATTTGGAGCTTATAGATAATTTATACAGTGATCATACTCAATTTTAGCAAATACATAGTAAGACAAGACCTATCTCATTTTTTGTGGCATTGGTTCCATGGGACCAGTAATTGAAAGACAATATCACCAAAGGGCAGGCTGCCATCTGGGTGCACAAATAAGGAGATTGTCACAACACAAAGAACTTCAGTGCTTTTCTGGAGCTGGATATATCCTAATTACTGATGCCACACAGCAGAAATTACACAATTGAGTAAACCAGGTCTGAAACATAATTTAAGAAAGCATCAACATTTGTTTTATAGTAGTTAGTCTAGAAACAATACATACTCCCCCAAAATAAAATCTTCATCTAAAACCCCAAACACCCTATTGATGACTCATTAGAGAGCATGTATTTTTATTAATTTCTTTTTGAACTTTCAGTGTTAGTTTGATAAAATCTTTTTTTCTCTGTAATTTAGGCAAATGCAGTGTTTTAACACAATGTTTTTAAAACTCAGTTGTAAGACTAGCATTATAGGAAAAAACTAGATTATTTGCTACTGTGATAATTTTGTCACCACTGGAAATTGCTTTTATTTCATATTCACTTGATTTTATATTTAGTGACTATTTTGAAGAAATGTAGAGCTGCTTTCAAAACCTAGAAATTTTTAATAGAATGTAAAAACATCTAACTTTTAAAAAGCTCCATTTTTTTCCCAAAATAATATTTAGAACCTTGTATTATCAAAACTGTAGATTAATGCTGTTTTAAACCAGGGTTTATGGGCTCTCCCCAGGCTACTAAACCTGCAGGATGAAAGTACTGCGTTTTCATACACTGTTAACTTGACTCAGATTTGGGGAAATGACATTTTTATACATAAGTACATTGTTGGAGTAAATTCTTATTTTAATCAGGAAATTTCCTGCTTCCTTTTGGGTATTCACCTAGACTACTCCACTGTTTAAGAGGAGTTACTCTCAGATGCACTATGTTAATGAAGAGGAAAAAAGCACAGTATTTTTTTTTTAATTACACATTATATTTTGGAGTGTTTTTAGTTTTACAGTTTATATTCCAGCACTCAAACTCAGGGTGAACTTTTAACAAGAGTTATTTAGTCACTAAATACTAAGATAATATTTCTGTCTTAGAGGGCCAAAGTAAATCACACCAATTTCTGACAGGTTAAAAATATGCTAAGATTTCTTAATGAACATGATAGGAACAAAAGGTAAGGTAACTTTTGTGATCAGCTTGTGGTTTGCAGAGAATGACAATGTCAAGAATTTGGTATAAAAGGATCATGTCTACTTGCTGTGTATTTTGGCCAACTAATGTGGTGATATGGATAAAAACTATTCAAAATATGGATATCATTGGATCTGTGACACATGCAATATGGAGGAAATTTTATGAAACTTGTATGGTTAGATTAGTTTGAAATGTGGGCTGATGAGTAAGTTTATGTTATTACTAGGCCTTAACTGGTTATGCAAACACTGCATTCATTTCTTTGCAACATATAGTTATGATATACTTTATAGTGGTGAGGGCCTTTTCAGTTGAACTTGTTTTATCTCTTGCATTCTTGATATTTCAGTTACCAGCCTGAAGTTTTTCTTGAATACTTACTTCTTTAGCACTTTGAAAACAGAAAACCACTTTTTAAGTACTAAGTGTTTAAACTTTGCCTTGCAAGTTTGCTTTTTAGGTTGGGAATATTGTAGTTATGTTCTTTCTGTCTGTAAGCAGTATAATTTGTTACCTTCAAATATCAGTACTTTCAGTAAAGTTTTTTTTTTATATCTGCAGAAATTGGAAAAAATCAGTAATATAAAACAATATATTACTTTGGAACACATTTCAGTAAGCATAAATTTATCTTCTGTTTACTTACACAAATGCTTAATTTTCTTTGCATTCCTTTAAAATGTACTTATTAAATGTTTAAATATCAGGCAGAAGCCATGCTTTGATTTTAAAACTTCTCTGGATAATCCATAATAGGAATAATTCAAATAGAAAGTTGGCAGTATACAGTGATAAAATTTGTATTCTCAGAAAATTTTTTTTAAATTCCTGTTAACTTTTTTTTTTCTTTTTTCTTTTATAATGACCAGCTTTTGGTATATCATTGTTACTGAGATCTATTTTTAGAATAAAATTTGTTCTCCATTTAAAGTTTTTAGTGCTTGGTCATTTTGTGAAATTCAAGAGAAATTAATAGAAAACAAAAGCCCAAAGGGAGATTGCAGGTGCTAAGCTAACAGTCCCAAGAAGTGGTATTTGAAATGTAGTTGCCTGGACAAGCAGCAGCCTTATCCGAAACTTTTTTAAAAATGCAAATTCTTAGACCACAACCCTGTCCTGTTGAACCAGAAACTATAAGTAGAACCTAGCAATCTAATAAGCCCAGTAGATTATTGTGATATATACCAAAGTTTTGAGAACCACTGCTTGGAGGATTTTTCATGTGAATGTGCTCTTTTTTTCTACTAGGCAGAATATTTTAAGAGCATACTGTTCCCAAGAGACACTGGCTACAAATATATTAACGTATGGCATTTTACAGAGTGACTTAAATATTATGGATTAATCAAAGATAAAAAAGGTATCATTATTTATATAATAAAATACCTTCCTTTAGATAAGCTCTGAACTCAAGATTGTTTAGGTTTAAATCTTGCTCACTACTTACTAGCTGTATGACCTTGGATGTAAGTTACTCCTGTCCTTATTTCATAGGATTATCCTCAAAGTACTTAGGAATTCATTGGGTTAAGGTTCTGAAAGATAGGAAATCTCAAGATCAAGGGGCCAGCCTCTGGTAAGGGCCTTGTGCATCATCACATGGTGAAGAGTATAGAGCAAGAGGGACTGGAACCTACTTCCAAATAACAGTGTTAGTCCCTGTTATGGCGTAGATATAAGGTATCCCCCAAAAGCTCATATGAAAGTCACTGCAGGAATTTTCAGGAGTAAAGTGGTTGTATTGTGAGAATTGTAACCTAATTAAGTGGATTGATCCACTGATGTGAACTGCAGGTGGAATGTGGCTGGAGGAAATAGATTACTGGTGAGTGGAGCTCTTTGTGCTTCTTGGTTGCCATGCCCTTCCACCATGATGTTCTGCCTCACCTTGGGTCCACAGCTATGAAGTCGGCCAGCCATGGACTGAACCTCTAAAATTGAGCCAAAATTTTACTCCTTTAATTGTTCTTGTCAGGTCTTTTGGTCACAGTGATGAAAAAGCTGACTAAAACATCCCTTAATGCCACCAGAGCCCTCATAACCTAAAACACCTCTGCAAGGTCTTACCTTTCAGTGCTGTCACACTGGCAATTAAATTTCAATTTAAGTTTGGGAGGGAACAAGCATTCAAGCCACAGCAGATACTCTCTATTAATAAGTTCAGTTTTCTGATTCTAAGACTTAAAAAAGCCTAACTTTTAGTATTTTTTTTTTTTTCCTTTATAAATCTTCCCTCCCCAGCTTTCTGTGGCTTTACTCTGGGCTTGTGTAACTTGCTTTTGGCTGATTGGTCTTGAGTTAAAGATTATGTCTGGAGGTGGGGAGGAGGTCCTCTTGGTTTTTCAGCTAATCCCTTTTTAAGAAATTGTTATGTGTGCCTAAAAAAACTACGTACGAAATATACAGAAATGTCAGCTAATGACATCAGTCAGTTGACAGAAGAGACAGTACCAAGTATAGCTACCCGCAAACCAAACTAGCCCTGGGAGGATTCAAGGACCCATTTAAAAATCTGGAGCAAAACAAAGAATATCCACATATAAAAGGTTGCTGGTGGGACTGGATACTGACAGGCAGAGAGCTAAGAAGAAAAGTAGAGGCTGTGGGTATAAACCACCTGTTCTGCTTCACTAAGGACACCAGCATCTCTTTGCACAAAGTTAATAGCCATTTCCACTAGAGCAGAGAGAGTCCCCAAACCCCTTTACTTCATGAAGCAACCAGTATATGCCACTCTAAGATGAGAGCTGCCATCGTTCCCAACCCTGAATGTACCTAGTGCTTAAACCTGTGACCTCTGTGCAAATACATTCTATATATGGGCTCTGTACGATACCCACACACACTTCAGACATGGGAGCCATTGCCATAGCAAGCTAGTTTGTATCCTGTCCTCATGTCAGTGCTCCAGACACCAGGTTCAACTGCCACTGAAAGCTAGACCATGCTCCAGACCCTGGCTCCAAGGCTGTGCAGCATGCCCACATCTCAAACACCAAAGCTACTACTATAGCAAAGGTACTCACTCCTATGATCCTAAAGCCACTGTCTCCTTGTATATGCCCAGACACCAGCTCAGCCACCACAGAGAACTAGGTGTCACCTTGATCTCAGGCACTGTAGCCATGTGCACACACATGCTCTTACCTCCAGTTCCCTCACTGCTTCATAAGTACCCACTTATCAACTCATCAGCTGGAATGCCCGACTCTGGGAGCCTATGCCATTACATCCTCGACCTCTGACCATGGTCCCTCCACATGGACCCATGCTTTGGGCTATTGCTCCATAGGAGTTCCACAGGTGTCACTAACCAGACACCTGTGCCACTGCCACCACAAGTGGGTCCACAAACTTTAACAAATTGACTGCTAAAGACAAAATTATTAAAAGTGGTAGCTACTAGAGATAAGACTCCCCTCATTGCTTGTAGACCAGAAACTGGACACTAAAGAGAAGAAACCTGGATGCCAAAAGGCTGATTCCAGTAAATAGGTGGGACCCAAAATAGCGGCCCAGAAGGAGGCAGCAGTCTATGTCACTCTGTGACCTGGGATCCAAGTTGTGAGAATACTACTCTGCCAGGAAGCAGCGTACCTGTCCAGGCCTCAGTGTCAGAGTAGGTCTCCCAACTATATGCCCATGCTGGACTACTGGGTTCCCCAAGAGAGACCATTGGTGGCAGCAGCAGCACCCACGAAGAACTTTTGGCCACCCACCCAAGCAGAAATCATGGATGCCACTCCCACACAGGACACCCGGCAGCTTCCCATGAGTAGGAACTGTCAAGATGCCACTATCCCTGTGTGGACCCCCATCTACCAACGTGGGGCTCCACCAGTGGCTGCCATCTTGGGACTCTCCATTTTTTTTCAGAGCTTGATATTAGCAGCAGACATAATCCCCTAAGTGCAGTAGCCTGCCTGCATCAGGGAACTTCACACAGGCTTTGAAGTCAGCTGACACTACAAGCCACAGAGCTTGCCACTGAACTCATTATCGAACACCATCACTGGACTCCCCGCACTCGAACTGACACTCCACCACTGAATGCAGGAGCCTCTATCTTGGGTCACCTTCATCACCATCTTCCAGTTTCTAACAACCCCCTATCCCCAGCAGCCGCTAACCTGGCGCAATGACACCTGGTTACCTTCACCTTCCTGAGGCGGAGATACCAGCTAACAACAGATGACCCCATCTGTTGGATGAGAAGGGAAGCAGGAAAGATACTGACCTCCCATCAAAACAAGTCCTATGCCTTCCTTCAAGATTTTTTTTTCTTTTTTTCCCCCTCTCCCTCTCCTTTCTCCGGCCCTCACATCCCCAACATGTGTGAAACCAAATACTTTACATGAATTAGGATTTTGAGGACTGGGATGTATGAATAGTATATTATAGTTGTGTTGTACATTCTTTTTAATTTTGTTAATTTTTTTCCTCACTAATTTCTGCTATTTTAACATTTTTAATTTTTCTCGATATATATGTGTGTTTGTTTTATGTACTCTACTTTCTTCCCACTGTCTACCCAAATTTACTTCCTCTCCTTTCTCCTGCTGCTAATATCAAGCTCTGAAAAAAAATGGATGCCAACCAAGAATCTTATACCCAGCAAAATTAAGCTTTAGATTTGATGATGAAATAAAAACCTTCCATGATAAACAGAAGTTAAAAGATCTTAATAACTCAAAAGCCTGCACTTCAGAACATCTTGGTAAAATATTCCATGAAGAGATGTTGAGAGCCACAGCCGAAGGGGCCCCAGCAAACTTTCAGACTGCCAGCTGATGATTGGCTCACAGCGGCCCCAGCAACTTCTAGCTGATTGGCTCCTCTGCGGTGATGTTCATTGGGCTGTTTCCCTGCCCTTTCAGACCACGGAGCTGCTCATTGGGGGACTTTTTTGGCTCTGCCCACGCGACCCAGCCAATCGGCCTCAAGAGCAGGAGGAGTGGGGGAAGTTGAGAGGCTTGTGGGAAGCCGGTGGTGGCAGTTGGGCTCTGAGGGTTTTTCCTGAGGAGCTGTTTTGTTTGGCGTGTGTGGTTCTAAAAATAAAGTTTGTTTCTTTTGACAAGTGGCTCCTGAATTGTGCCCAGCCAGACTGCGGCATTTGGTGGCCCGTACGGGGAAAAAAAAGTGAGAATCAGCAAAGGGATGTATTACACTAAAGGAAAAACTAATCAACAGAGAAACCAAGTCAAGTTGAATACCAAAAATTAAAAAAATGGCTGGAAATACAAATCATGTCTCAATAATAACCCTGAATGTTAGTGGCTTAAACTCACCAATGAAAAGACATAGACTGGCAGACTGGATTTTTTAAAAACAATATGCTGCCTCCAAAAGACTCATAAGAAAACACATCCACAGACTGAAGGTGAAGGATTGGGAAAGATCATACCGCTCACATGGACTGCGGAAACAAACAGGGGTTTCCATCCTCATATCAAATAAAGTAGAATTCAAGCCAAAGTTAATTAAAAGGGATAAAGAAGGATATTTCATACTGCTTAAGGCAACAATTCATCAATAAGACATAACAATAATAAATTTATAT